AGTAGTAGTCGTCGTAGTAGTAAGTAGTAGTAGTAGTAGTAGTCGTCGTCGTCGTCGTCGTCGTCGTCGTCGTAGTAGTAGTAGTAGTAGTAGTAGTCCTCCCCCCCATCGGAAAAAAGCTGTACTGGTAGTAGTCCTCCTTCCTCCCTCAGGCACCGCCCTCAACTCTTCATCATAATCCCCCTGGCCCCAAAGAAACGCTTCGCGTGCAGCCTCGGCTGGGCACATGCCATCGTGCAAGGACTACATGATGCCTCCCAGCTGGCCCTTCCTCGTGGTCTTCCTCGGGGGAGCTTTCGCGCTGCTGGTTGCGGGAAACTTCATTTTCCCTGGTGAGAAGAAGTGATGGGAGCACTGATCATGAGCTGCTTTGGGAGCGGTAGAGGAGCTTTGCTTAAAACAAGCTTAGTTTCAGCACAGCTCTGATTTTAGGAGGCTTACCAAACACAGCCCGTGGAAAAGAAACTCTGTGACATTGCCGCTGTTCTCTGAATTCGGATGCAGCTATTGCTGATAGATTTGCTGACCAGTTGCGCATATCGGTTTTCGAGAGGCTCAGTCAAGTTGCCCTCAAGCTGTTCCAGCTACCTGTTGGAGGCAGTGTTTTGGGACACCTGCAAAGCTGTATGCACTTGATTTACCTCTTGAAGCGATTGCCCGTCCTTGTCCAGGCAAGATGGCGCGCAGCTCCAGTGCCCTCCCCGTGGTCCTGCTGGCCCTGGCGGCTCTCTTCGTGGCCCCCGCCTTCGTGCCATCCCCTGCCCCGCGCGGGGCGCCCGAGGCCAGCGCTGCTGCCGTCGCGGCAGGTGCCCTGCTGCCGGTGCTCACGGCCCAGCCTGCCATGGCCGAGGACTGATCCTAGGAAGAGGCGTGAGATGCGGGCAAGGCGGCTGGGCACATGCCATCGTGCGAGGACTACATGATGCCTCCCAGCTGGCCCTTCCTCGTGGTCTTTCTCGGAGGAGCTTTCGCGCTGCTGGTTGCGGGAAACTTCATCTTCCCTGGTGAGAAGAAGTGATGGGAACACTGAGATGCACTGAGAACAAGCTGATGCCTGGAGTAGGCAGCATGGCAGGTGATCGTCATGCTCATGTTTTCTGTAAACAAGATGCCAGCATACCCTATAGGCCAATAGACTTTCCCATTTGAAGATGATGGCACCGATCCAATCCGGGAGAAATGATCTGCTGAGCGGCATTCATGTCAGTTTGTGCGCACTGCTTGACGAAAGATGCGCAGCTGAATGGTTTGTCTTGACATGTCTGCTGCTCCGATCGGTTCAGTCAGTGCAGTGCAGATTGCAGAGCATACCGGTATACCAGCCTGTGCTACTGCGGGGGTCCTGGAACAGGGCGGCAGCGTCACTTGTCCCTCTCTCTCTTGTCGAGTTGGCCGCTCATTTCCGAGGCAAAGATGGCACGCAGCTCCAGTGCCCTCCCTGTGGTCCTGCTGGCCTTGGCGGCTCTCTTCGTCGCCCCCGCCTTCGTGCCATCCCCTGCCCCGCGCGCGGCGCCCGAGGCCAGCGCTGCTGCCGTCGCGGCAGGTGCCCTGCTGCCGGTGCTCACGGCCCAGCCTGCCATGGCCGAGGACTGATTAAGCGCATCCTAGGAAGAGGCGTGAGATGCGGGCAGGGCGGCTGGGCACATGCCATCGTGCGAGGACTACATGATGCCTCCCAGCTGGCCCTTCCTCGTGGTCTTCCTCGGGGGAGCTTTCGCGCTGCTGGTTGCGGGAAACTTCATCTTCCCTGGTGAGAAGAAGTGATGGAAGTCTGAATCAAGTTCGGAATCCGACGGCAGAATGGCCTGAGCCGTGCCACTGCAATTTTACTCAGGAGCATCTAGGGAATCTAGGGATATATCATTGAGCTTCTCTAGAAATATCAGACTGCAGAGATTTGGCGCAAACCTCGCCGTGCTTCTGCACTCGGAAACATTGCGCCTCGTAAGCCGATTGTGGCTTGTTGCGTTGATGCGTGTTGCCTCCATGCCATGACTCACAAGACGTATTACAAAGGCATGTCTGCAAGCATTCTCTCAAGATGAGGAATGCGATCACTCTAGTGGCTGTCTGTACTGGTATCATGTCATCGTCACGTCGTTTCTGTACCGAAGCCGCGGAGGCCTGGCAAGCTGTAGAGACGTAGCTGAAAGCCGGGGGTGCCCCGGGGGTTCCCGGACTCTGATGCTGGTGGCTTAGTGCAGACATGGCAGACTTCACAAGTGACACACTGACACGGCCTTCAACCCTTCACACCTCGCCGAGGGATCTCAGCAGCCTCTCGCGCAACACGTGCTGCTCTCGGTGGCCGCGGCGATATTTTTGAAGATTCTCATTCTCGTCTGGGTGAACACATAGGTTGGATCCAGACGATCCCACAATCCGCGGACGCAACTGGGAGTCCGTCGAGAAGGCTTTTCCAAATGTTTGCCTCGAAGGGTTCCCCGCATTCCCAGAAGCTTAGCAGCGATGTACGGAGAGGGTTGAACTTTTCGGCCACCTAGAGGGCTTGCGAGAGCCAGAGAGATTCCAACCTAGACGAGTGATGCTTCAACTTCTACAGAGCAACTTGAGAAGAGCCCGATGAGCAGGTGCTGAACCAGCGAGAGGCGTACCTTGCGTCTCTTAATGGCGACGACCTAAGACTTCGGGTGCTTCTCCGATCGCCAATGTGGGACTTAGCAGCTTCAGAGCTCATCGGTGACATTCGATAACGATAGCCACACTTCTTATTCCCTTTTTGCAATATGAAAATGTCCGCCTATGTACATATAGGTATTGCAAACTCTTGTGGCTCTCCGGCTCCCCCTCCCTGCCGCGCCTCTCATGATACATTCATCGATGTGCACCGATATGAAGGCGAGGAGGATGGCGTCATTGTGTCTTGTTCTACTGATACGGCATTGCTACTTCTTGCTCTCTTGCAACCCGTGGTGATCGTACCCTGTGCCGCAGCGTCGGCTCACTTCCGCAGCGGCCAGACCTTCCGACCTTGTGCCCCGGTATACGAGGGGTTCCTTCAACGGTTCCTTTTGGGGACTCTATGAAGAGTCCCTGCGTTTGAGAATTTCGGGGCTCAAGGGTTTAGGGTTGAGGGTTCCTCCTTCAGCAAGCATCTCTAGACCTGCCTTATGGGGTCTTGGGAGTCGCCAGAATTTTGCAGGGCCCTGGTTGGGGGCCCTGAATGTCGACGAAAGCCCTTCGATCTTCCACCTGGATTTCATTATCGGCTTCCCCGGTGTTGCTGGCCTTTGCTCCGAAGTTCTGTCGGCACCTGTACTGTGACTCATAACTCTGGGCGCATACAGACTGGCTTCATTGAACTTGCTGGAGCATCCACTATCCTTTGTTGGAAGTGTTTCGACTGCCGCTGTTGTTCTCTCTCGCTGTTTCCAGATCCTGTGTCTTCCACACTAGAGAACTGACTCAAAGCCGACCCAGGCCATGGAGGCTCCCTCCGGGCTGGGCGAAGGGGAGCGATGCGCCCTTTTAGAGCTTGAGCAAACCGGAAGATCCCAGGACCGGCTTTCGAGGTTTTCAAGGGGCCTGAGCGGGGAATCGCGAAGTTCCCAGATGAACGCTTGAGACAGAAGCTTGCTTCAGCGTGTGCGGGCATCCTGATCTGAACCTGAAGTAAATTCCCGATGAGCTGCAATGACAAATTGGAACAGAGTTTCCGGGCACGCAGGCCCTAACTCAAGTTCTTTCACGCGTTCCAGGAGGCACCGACTCGGAGTCACCGTCGATTGGTGGTCGCCTTGGTCCTAGGAGTTCTCGGAAGCGCACTCGCCTTGTTGCTGTGGAGGCCACCATTTGGCTTTGAATGTTGCTTTTAGTACTTATCGCCTTGTGTCTGCCGCGGCGATTATGCCTTGATGCTTCCATTGTGATGCGAAATACGTAGGTGCGCACAGCTCGCAGTGCCAAGTCTCCGGGCCTTTTCTGGATGATTCTGGATGTTTGTGGTGGGCTCTACCTGTTTGCAAGGCCTTGAAAGCTTGACGGGTTGAGGTCAGCTCCCTTGACAAAGCTCTAGAGACCTATTTATGATCCGGTTTTGATCTCTGAGACATGGCAGGCCGCCTGGAGCCGGCAGAGAAGCAAAGGAGCAGTCTCGGGAGTTTGGGGAGATGGACTTTAGCCTCCTGCCTGTGGACCTCCGGCGGTCCGGGCGCACGAATGGCTTTAAGCTTGTAGTAGTATCATTGGCTCTACTCCTCAGACCATCGGCAAGAGCAACAACTTGCACTGGTCGTAGTTGCGCCACGGTTCACAACAATATCAATACCAGCAACCGCATTAATCAACGACGGAAGTGTATTATTTGGCAGTAGACCAGCCTACACAATCCACAATGGCAGCAGTAGTAGTATTGATCAAGTACAATAACAGAAGCCGTATGAGCAGCTAGAAGCTGTCAAGACATGCATCCGGCTATCGTTCTTCCCCCCGCGTAATCAGAGGCTTTGTGTCGCGCGTTGCCGGTGCGTCGCCGCCGGTGTCAACCTTCTTCGCGCAAGGCGTATCTTGAATCGAGCATCGGCCGAACTACCAGCACTGCTTAGACTGTCGAACCTGCTGCGGCTGTGATGGCGGTTACAGCCATTTTATCCTCATGGTAGCTACAGCCACCTACTGCTCATGCGTACTGTTAGTGTGGTTGCTAGCGGCTTAGGCTCTGTTCCTTTCGACACATCTAAATCCTAACTGTCTTTCGATTTCCGGAAAGGGCCTGCGTGGAAGATCAGGACTTCACACAGCTGGCGGCCGCCGATACAGTGTGGTACAGTTCCTTGGACGCAGGATCGAGGTCCCATAATTTACGCAGAAAGGAAGTACTCCAGCAGACGATCATGTCTATGATCAGGCACAGTCTTCGTTCTTCCTGTCAGGCGTGTGTCAGCGATGTCTCTGTTTCGAAGTCCTGCGATATCTGCGATCCGGAATTGAATTGGAAGCAATGCATAGGCTCCAACGGGAACTCCAAAGACGTCTTTTTCAACATCGAGCACGACCGGGTTCCGGTGCACGTGATCGACGAGATTTGGCCCAATCTGCAGGCCTGATGTGCGCATCAAGAATGCAATTAGCGGCCCTTACTGTAGGCCCTGTAGGCTTTAGACTCTAGATCCGAGATCCTGAGCCCCGGGGCTGAACGTTGTCCCCAAGTGATTCTGCCTGTGGTGAGTATTGTCGGTCTTGTCAGGTCTCCTTCAGAGAAGCCCTGGATGGCGGTGTCGTCACGGCCCAGTCGCTTTCTGACTACACGGCGCAACTGCTGACGTCCCGTTCGCCCTTCGATTTGGGGGGCAACGGGGCTCCAAAGTAACTTGGCCTTCAAGTTCGCTTGTCCGCTTCCTTCCCTGGTTTTCTTACTGTACTCTTTCGAAACCGGTTGCAGTGTGTGGGGGTGGTTTTGTTTCAGGATTTGTGCGAAGTACCCAGGCCACTCGGAGAGCAAAACAAGACACTTGCACAAGTTCACAGGGGACAACCTCCATCTCCCCATGCGCTTTATGGCGGGCCCCACTGGAGTGCCAAGTCTGGTGCTGCCTTGGGTGTGTCGATGTTTAAGTGGGGCTGGTGCCAATAATGTTGGATGTCAGGGATGCTTACGTTTCCTGTCAGTCCAGGATCAGTAGACTACTTGCATGCAGCATTGCCATGATCTGGGGTTTCCGAAGTTATACTTATGTCCATGCTCAGATCATATCATCAAGTCATTTCTCTTTGTTGCTGCTATGTCCGAAGCAGAATTGGCTTGCTTTTCTTCACAAAAAAAGGACGGCCGTAATCTGTGTCCTTCACAGCTGTTTTCGCGATCCTGTTTTCCAATGGTTTATGGCACAACGTTCTATGGTTCCCACTCGGTGGGCAACGGGGGCCGGATCATGGCTCCTGTCCTGTGATTCTGGCCATTTTGTTGAGGCTCTTGGCTGGCATACCCCGCACGGGGGGGTGGGGGCAGGTGGGGGGAGGGCCGAATCCATTACAGGACGAAACTGCATTGGAGCAGTCTGCAGGGAGGGGGGGGGCGGGTCCCGGTTGCCAGCTTAGTGGGTGGGTGGGGAAACAGGGAATCACTGCGGGAAACTCTGACCGCTTCGGCCGGGGCCGAGGCGAATCATGATGGTGATCAGGATGGTGATGTTGATGATGATGATGATGATGATGACGACCACGACCACGATCGGTGTTAGCAGTGGATTCGTCGTGGCCATGACGATGATTGCAAGAATGGACGCAAGCCTGCATTGATCCAGTCTGTCTTGCCGGAATCTTCTTGTCAGGCAGGGTTACGTTCAAGTTCCAGCAGGCGCGTCTTGCAACTTTCGTCGCATTGCATCGTCTTCGTCTGGTAATTATGTTGGTAGGTTCGGAACTAAGACTCTGCCAGCCGCACTGCAACTTAGCCCTGAGCGAAGAGGTTGATTTGATTGACGGGTTGATGTCTTGCACTACCCCCTCCGTGTTTGGCTATCTTGTTGCTTTTGACTTGGGCTCGTCTGTCAAGCACGCGAAAAAGCAATCAACTTGACCAGTGCGAGGGGCGCCGGGCGCTTCCCACAGCGACATGTTGGACTGGCACCAGTACGCGGTCTACAGCCGGAGACAGGCAGCAACATGAGGACAGCAGAATAGTGACGAAAGCGATCGCGTGTATTTTGATGGCGTGCCTCAACAATATCTCACACGAGAACACCGCCGTGAATGTGACTGTGTGACCGTCAAATAGCGGTGGTGTTGACTAGATTTGGCTAGAATAAGCCGTCGATATGTATTGATCACCCTCAGTCCGCATCGAGATAAGTCAGAACCACAAGCAAATTCATGAGCTTAGGCAGCGTCGGAAAGTACAATGGGAGTTTCCTTATGCTACGAAGCATTGCGTGTGCACAGCTCCTGGCGGATGCGTCAGCGATTCGAAGTTTGGGGCTTTGAAGGGCCTGGGAGTCGCGCTTGAAAGTTGAGGATGGGTTGACAGGCTTGGCATGGCTTGGCATGAACACTGGTCGGTTGGAGAAGGGCATCTTGCTTACCATGCAAGACGTTCATGCAAGATGCTTCTTTCCTGCTGCGGAGGTCTGCTATATTGCTGCGCTCGTGGCTGCTGGCAACCAGGCATGCTGCTCCAGAGTTTGTTTTTCCTTAGCAGCGCTTGTGCTTGTGCTCCTCGTCGTTAGGTTTCGTCATGACAGCTGGTGATTGGTGCTCATGGTGGTGGTCCCCGTTGTTCCCAATCCCTCTGACTGCTGTTACTGTGCAGTCATCGCGGCTTGCCGTTGCTTTAAAGCTGAAGTCCACTAGGCGTCCAACTACGACAGCGGCTTGAGTCGACTGATCCCTCCGACAAAGTGTGGCCCGGCAGGATGCAGATCCGGTGCATTTAATCGATGCAAGCAGCAAGCTAGGACAGCATCTACGCATCCCAAGTACTCACATCACTGCACCTTAGCCCGAGACCAGTATTCTGTGACTTTTGGCAGTCCAGGCGACAGCGATCTCTACCAGGCTGGTCGACGTGGATTACGATGCAACAAGAAGCATCCAGTAATCCGGTATATTCACGCCACCACCATCGCGTTTGTCAGCACGGCGAGCGTCGTAATTGTAAACGCTTCGCGCCGAAACATGCGTTCTGCGACGGCCGGACATGCAGTATGATGTGTGTCCGAGCACATACCTAATCATACCTATACATAGCTTGCTTGTGCCTTGTCGGCTCCATCCCCGGCTTGCAAGGATGCGCACATAAGCACCCTTCATAACTTGCCTCGGCCCCGGCCAAAGCGGTCAGCGGTTCCCAGTTTCCCCTCCCAACCCACCACCCCTTGCCGCCCCCAAGGCACCGATTACACTTTCATGTCCCTCGTAGCCAATCCGACACACGTTTCCTCCATTGTTCCGCCTCCCTTTTCCCCATGCCCTCTGCCCCCCCTCTTTGCTCGTGCTTCCTTCTCCATCCCTCTCTCTGTCCGCGCGCGCATCCACATGCGCACCCACATCCAAGCAAGGCCCCTGCTCATGTGTTATGTTGCGGCACGTGACCATGCTATTGGCAGAGGCAGTAGGCTACCGGCTGGATGGCAACTGCTAGCCATGAGGTTCTTCGAAATGAAGAAGAGGCCAATTCCCACTGGGCCTCCCTCAAAGTGGTTTAGCAGGCGGGCTTCAAGCGGGCGCTCCTCGGTCTGTTGGCTGCCTGTAGCGTGGACCCGACGCTGAAGGATGGGGCACAAGGCTGCGCTTCGTGAGAGTTCGAGCGACCGATATCAGGAACTTTCAGGAGGGTGCTAGGGTTACTTGTAGGGTTTGTAAGGGGTGAATCTCCATTGGGGAATGCTCAGAGGCACCGTATTATGGTATTATGGATGAAAAGGCATCGGAGCCATGAGCCCTAACTCTGCGAATCCTTCATCTCCTGGGCATGAAGCATCGAAGCCTTCCCACCTACCGTCCCCCCACCCTAGACCCCAAACGCCGGACACAGAACTTTCCGAATCTCAAAGCCGAAAATGCGACAAGCGCCGGAAGCCTCAAGCCTTGAGAGGTCCGGTGCTCATGGTGGCCAAGAGTACCGACGACCTCACGAAGGCGCCATCCCTCGCGGACTCGGAGCCTCGAAGAGCTCGTTTGGCGGGGTTACGGAGGTAGAACGGGGCATAATATCTCACAGATTTTAGTAAGCCTCTGTGATGTTGCTTGTGCAGCATTCGAGTCGTCTGTTTCGAAGGATTTCGAAGCTTCTCTGAGCCATGGCTTATCAGGTTCAGAATTATTCTGTACACTGCCGTGGTGGCGGAATGACAACTTCCGATCGGTCACCGAAGAGTGTATATGTGGGCTAAGTCGCGGCAACCTTGACCGACCCGCACGAAGGCCATCGAACTGGCATCGGTTGTGGGCCCCTGTGTAGCCTTTGGTAGTCCATATCCGTTCCGAAGCAGGCTGTAGATTAGCTCAAAGCACTGCATTTTGCCACCCAGGACGTACCTCTCAGCGCTGCACCGCTGCGCACCTGCCGATTTCGCTGCCCGATCCAATCCTATCCACAGCCGCAGCTGCCCATTCATACGCACAGACTGGCACACACACACAGACAAGCATGCACTCACACTTAAGTAAGGCGTTTTCCACACCTTGTGGTGGTTCAGCTGTACATAGATTCGCTGAGAAGGATTTTTCAACATTTCTCCATCCGAATTTCTGCAGAGCCACCCATCCTTTTCGTTTTCATGGATTCCCTTCGAGGTGATGGGTCTGATGGGAACCCTCCTGTCTCGGACTCCATCTCGGCAACACCAGACGCAGCGTGCCAGCCGACCTCTTCGACGCCAGTGGATGCTCGGTAGTGGGCAAGATTGGGCCGTCAGGGTATGTGAGCTTTTGTCACTGGATTTCGAGCAATGACTGGTCGGACCATAAACTCGGATTTTGGAGGTGGAGTCACGAAAGCTCGCGGAGCGTGGCTTGAGTTAAGTCTCGCCTTTGCCGTGGGGCGGACGCGCTCTTGCTGCTCTTGCTGTCGCTCCTGCTTTTGCTCTTTCTCCTGCTCCTGAGTCTGCTCTTGCTCTTGCTCCTGAACCGAATTCCTTACGTAGTTTTTCTTTAGTCGAGATGGTTTCAGGACGATTCCCCGAAGAGCCTTTTTCTCCCTAGGTTTGGTGTCAATATAGGGGGAAGTGTGTTTGTTGCCATTGACATGAGGGTGGGTCTGTGAAATGAAGCTTTCCTGAATTCTACGCCACTGCTTCTATTCTGAGGACTTCATGCGAGCTGGCAATTCCTTGAAAGGGCAGGTGATTGTGGATGCTTGGCCGGGCTTGCGATCCTCATAACCCACAGACCAGAGATTTTTTGATTCCAGTTTTCGTATCACATAGGATGCAGAAAAGCTGGTCCATGCAAGAAAGAGCTTTCGGGCCTGGCAAGGACATCACCGCAGCCTGGATCGGTGGGTATATCCTTGCCCACAAAGGCACGTCCTCGGCTTGCAGAGTAATTGGACAGTGTGCAGGCTGCAGTTGTGTGTGTGTGTGTGTAGACTGGCATACCTGCGGTTATCTGGAGCTTGCATGCCTTCGAAAAAGCCTTGGGAAAATGCTGTTGGCTCGAAGCCGCAACAGGTGATGGTGAGTTTGAAAAGCCCAGCAAGCCGAGCGAAGATGCCACCAAAGCGTCAGCGAGCGCCAGGTTGCTCGCAGAGCCTGGACCCAGGTATGCAGTGCCCGCTGCAGGTGCAGGTGCAGGGGGAGGACAGCCTGGTTTTGGGCCTTTGTGGACCCAGCGAGCTTCGTGGCCTCGAGCGAAACCGCAAGCAACTAGCACCTCAACGTCAGTCGACAGTCCCCAAGTCAACGAGGCTGGTTTCCGTGGAGGCAGAGCTGAGAGCAAAGCTTCGGTGCCTTGTGAAGGAGTCTTGCAGCGAGATGCTTTGGCCATGTGTTGGTCGTCGGGATGTGGTGCAGCACATCATGTCTTTCATCGAAAGCGAGCGGCCGCTGATTGATACAGAAGTGGGTGGCAAGATGTTTCAGGACACAGGTTCGGCAAACTTGGACTTCTTCTTCCAGTCGGTTCCACAAGGAAGGCCGAAGGAGAACGAACTGTTGAAGGGGCTGCTAGACAAGGCTTGGGCTGAGAGTCCAGGGGTTTGTCTGAAGCAGATGTTCCTTCTCGGATCCCGGGATGGCAAGCAGGACAGGCATTCCTTCTACGATGCCATGATGTGGCTTTGGCACAAGGACCCCCACACACTGCTGGCCAACTTGCACCTGGTGCCTGAGTGCAACTACTGGAAGGGCTTGCTGGAGATTCTGGCGTGCATCTGTGAAGGCCCGGTGCGCAGCTTGCAGCGAGACTTGGCCCTGCATTCGCACTACAAGCGCTGCCAGAACGAGCCAGAGGACCACAAGCCACCCGCCAGCACGGAGCTGTCTCGAAAAGTGAACTTGGCTCGTCCACAACGGTCTGCAACCATTCAGAAGTGGGCCTGGATCACGAAATGCCATGGTTGACGACCTAAGTAGGCAAAGGCCACCAACTCGAGTCTGACTAAGTTTGAGATGAGATGGTGCTCGCCGGAAGAGTCACAAACATGCAGGTTGGAAGTGTCCCTAAGCTGTAAGGTATCGGATGGAGGATGCCGGCATCGAAGGGGAAGGCAACTTCCGGCCGGGCTCTCGCCTGCAGTTGGCGGAGGAAGCGCTGAAACTCGGCCAAGTTCAGAGCGCTTCCTGTGGACTCGCCGTGAGGGCTTCGGTCGCGGTTTCTCTTTATTTCCCCTAACAGCACAATGGCTGTGGCATTCTCGTGTTCATGGGGCTAAGAGGCTTGACCGCTGTGTCCACGCGGCGTGCAGGGCAAAAAATGATTCCTAGCGCGTCCTACTAGCTACACAGGATGCATCGGACGCACGTTTCCCACCGCGGTGCGGTGCGTACTTTTGGCAGTCGTCCTCTTATTTTGTGGAGCATTCGTTTTGAGGCGCGTGCTCCGGGCCAGGATTCATCGTAAATGATATCACGCGTGCCACCCTTGGACTCTCGAAAACCTTGCCTCGCGGCAGCACTAGGGAACACGAATCCGGCTGTTTTTCTCGATCCCGCATGCGGAAGCGAGCAAGTAATACTTCGGGGAAAGCAGTTCCTCGCTGGTCCTGGACCTGCCATTGCTTGCGGGAAAGCGCTTCCGCTGTTTTCTCGAAGGTTTCTCAATCGTTGCTGCTTAGCATGGAAGCCTGCAAGGAAGCGTTACGACAGTGACCCGGTCTACCGATCGCTCTTCGAACGCATCGCACGACTCTTTGCAGAGCAGCTGCGCATGGACCTCGCGGCCATGCGCCGAGGTCAAAGGGTGAGGCTTTGCGCGAAGTGGTGCCCTTTGCTGTACCATTCCTTCGATCGCCGGACCCTCCTTTGCGAGGGTATTGCCCGCTGGCTCTTCCCGGCGACCTTGCCAGAGTTTGCAGGCTGCAGCGAGCGACAGTATGCCTACAGAGCTCGCGATTTGCTGCGGAAACGGCTCTCTGAGCTCACCGAGTACATGAAGCTCCCGGAGAGGCTGATCTGCCAGCGTCGATGGGCTGAGATCCGATACAAATCGCTTCCCGCGGCTTGCCTGACCAAGCATGCCAAGAGCTTCGAGAAGCACGACTCCGTCAGGTGACAAGGCCTTGGCGCAAGGACAATGGCGGGCCATGGTGGAGCGAATCCGCGAAGCTGGCCATCTGCAGGATTGCATCGCTGTGCGACGTGTCGGGCTCTATGTCCTGCGAGGCCGCCCCACACATCAGCTGCATGGACGTGGCCATCGCACTGTCCTTGCTGGTGGCGGAGCTTTCTTCCGGGCCCCTGGCACGTCAAGTCATCACGTTCCACGAGCGACCGTCCCTGGTCCCTGGTCAAATTGCCCGACACTTCGGACCTGTGCGAGTTGGTGAGGTTTATGATGCGGGTGGATTGGGGTGGGAGCACCAACTTTCACCGAGTTTTCCAGCTCTTGGAGAACATTCCCCAACCGCCCAAGAAAATCTTGGTCTTCTCTGACATGCAGTTCGCCAATGCCGGTGGCAACACCACAGTGCTGAGGCAGATTCAGCGGAACTATCGGCAGGCCGGCCGGACCATGCCTGAGCTGGTGTTTTGGAATCTCCGAGCAACTTCGGGTGCACCGGCCCTCGCCACCGATGCAGGCGTTGTGCTGATGTCTGGCTTCTCGTCGCGCATGCTGAAGATGGTCACCGAGTCCGGGCCTGATCCTTTGGCAGCCTTCAGCAAGGCGCTCGAGAACCTTCTGTGTGGAAAGGTGCGTGTCGCCGACGCCGCAGACGCCGAGGAGCTCCTGGGCCCTGCTCTGCCCTTCAGCGCCTTCACCTTCGCTGCAGAGGCCGAGTCCGAAACTGCGAAGGCGGCAGAGCCTGCAGAGCCTGCAGCTGCAAAGGCGGCAGAGGCCGAGGCCCAGGTCCCAACGCCCAAGCCCAAGCAGCAGCGGAAACGGCGGCAGGTGACGGTGGCGTTGGGCGGACTGCCGTGCCGCGTTGCTGAGGCTGCGCTCATCGGCAAAGGGGGCCAGAGGATCCAAGAGCTGAGGAAGACACTCCAGGACCGCCTTTGCCAAGAGCTGGATAAGGGCTACTTCCGCTTTTGGCTCGATGTGCGACGGTTCGTCTTGCAAGCGACCGTGGAGGCCGCCGAGACCTCGTTCGGAGAAGATCAGATTCGAACCGCCCTGGCGCAGCTCAAGCACAGCATCCCGCGTAGTGTTGTCTACAACAAAAAACAGCACATTCATTGCGTCGACGACGGCCTCCCCGCACGCGCACCTGGCGCAGCGTCTGCCACTCTCGGGTCACTGCCGACTAATCGGGCCATGGCAGACTTTATCGGCCCAAGGGGTTCGAGGATTCAGTCCATGAAGGAGGAGTTGGAGCGCATCCTGGATGAGCAGCTCAGTCCGGCCGGCTTTTGGTTTTACCTGGATGTGCAGAAAACAGGTGTAACCGGGGTCCTGTCGGCGACTGTGGTGCCCCATGACAGCTCGCTCACCGAAGGACAGCTGGTAACTGCCTTTCAACGATTGAAGGCCCATGTCCAACGAAGCCAACATTACACGAATTCCCGTCGGGTTGGGGAACAACGACCCACGGCACCTGCGAAGTGCACTTCGCGAAAGATGACCGCAGAGAGGTGGTCAGGAATGGCACCCAACGTGCTGTTGCCAGAAGGACTCGAGCCGACAAAGTTGCAAATGCCAGGAAGCAGAGGTCACTCTTCAAGTACAGGAGAGCAGTCCGAGCAAGAGCAGCTCGAAGTCCAAGGCGAAGCCATCAATGCCTACAGTAAGCGGTTGGTTAGGACGGCCAGGATCCACAAGTTCTTCTCCGATGATTCCTCTGACGTATAGATGATCGAACTCATCCTGTTGCCTTTTTGGTGCAATTTGGTGCATTTCGACTGAACGTCGATTGGACAGCTCATGTGGCACTTGAGGAAGGTGCCTTCCCTCGTCAAAGTTCTCGGCCAAACTGGTCACCATTGTACAGTGTGCAGAAAACATCATAAACTTTAAAAATTCAGTAGCTGGTGCCCGCGATGTTAGCCGAACTTGAAGAGATTTAGAACTCAAGGGTGCAAACACAGCTCATTGCCGCCACCAAGCATGCCTTGCCTGGGATGTTGGCAAGTGCCGTAGCTTGTCGTTTTTGGCTGCTTACATATGAGTTCGGTGCTGCACTCTTGCAGGATGTGGCAGCATCGACGGAGGACAAGATGAGAGGCTGATGACCACCATGCCAGCATCTGGACTGCACCAGCGATCAGCGGCTGTTGGATCTGGACATTGCATGGCTTTATGTAGATAATCAGGTGGCATGACCGTCCCTGTGGATCCCAGCTATGTTGAGGGGATCCACGCTCTTGCAGCTTCACACCACAATCAATGCACTAATGCGACACTCAGGAAGTGATGGTCTGTCTCTCAGCTGCTCCCTGTGCACTCTGCATCGCGCACTTCAGTTTGTAAAGCATACTGCAGATTGGGCTGGCCCACTGTTCCTTGAGAATACGGGTAATCTGTGAAGTGCAAACGATTTTGTCGCCAGTGTGGCCAGCACTGCCAGCATGTGTCGAGACTTACCTCCACTGCTGCGGCTACTGCAGTTACCTGCTGCTGCACGCCAGCACTAAAGTTTCGGTCCCTCTCCCGCCATCCTTCAAGCCCCCGTCGAAGCCGCTCGCCATCGCTCGCCCAGATTCTCAGCTTCTTCCTGTCTGAGAAGGCTCCCCGCAAGTTCCGTTTGTTCGCTCACGGCATCCTATCGAAGGACGACACAGGAGGTATGAGCACGGACCAGTAGAGGTACTGTGATTAGCAGCCGTGGCGGTAGTGAACATAAGCTGTTGCGTACATCTCATCTAGAGAACTCCATGCGTTCGAAAGACATAGGATGGCGACACGAGGGGAAATGCAGATTCCCTGGCCTTTTCAGAGCCTCTTACTCTGACGTGCAAAGATGAAGCGTTGTTGAAATTCAAGATAACTCAAGGCCAAAGGCCAGAGGTTTTGGACAACGGGCAGCAAGCTACAGCCCAAGAAAGAGAATGTTCCCATGTGTGAGGCTTTTGGGTTTCTGGAGTCTTAGTTGCTGGAGGCCTCGCCGCTGGCCAGCGAGGGCCGTTCTCTCCTGGTGCCAGCGTACATCCTTGGCGCGCGGAGGTGGCACCAGCGTGCAGCGCGATGTTCACATGATCGGCTTGGGGTTCGGTCTGGTTGCCTCGAGCATCGAGCAGGATCTTCGGCGGCTTAGATGGCACGTCCCGGGACATCGGGCCGGAGAATTTCAACCAAGGCCGATTGCGAGCCAGGTTTTCCTCGATCCCAGCGCGTAGCCTGCCAAATCCAGAGGCTCTCTAGCAGCCCCCCCCCCCTGGCCCAAGCCCTAAGATTTTGCTTAGCAGGAAAGCCGGATGTGAACCTGGATGTGCCCCTGACCTCCGACCTGGTCGATATCGAGGTGCCACTGTTGAGCTGGTTGGGGAAGTATGGATACCGGCCGTGGTGATGGCCACCTCCTAAATACACATTCGCAGGTGCTCATCATCAGCAACATCGCCTGGCTCATGACAACGAGTACTAAACCTCATAGCAGCCAAATATCAGTCATAGCAGCCACGTCAGGGACGAGAAAAAGAGATTCGCATGGGTTTACGAACGCCAGTTTCTTGGGTTGAGATCCTGCTTGCAAGAAACCGACATCTGGTTGATCGGAGGCGAAGGACAGGAGTATCATCGCAGCTAGAAGACCCTTAAGGCCCTTGCGTACACTCCACATGGACCACAGGTGGGCGGCATGAAGACAAAAATCGGCAAGACGAGCCCCTTCTTAGGCAGGGCAGCCGGCAGCGCAGTGCTTGTGTTGCGGTGCAGAGACTTGTCGGTGCAAGAAGATGTAGAACGAACTTCAAATTCTCATATCCTCAGTGGTCCTCACGGCATTTGTGAGGCGCTTGTTGTTTGATCCCCGTAGTTGGCAAGGCCGAAGAGTGCAGGAACAGTTGGAGCGCAGGCAATTGATAAGCTGCTCAACCTTGCTATCTCGGCTTCGCAGCATGACCGAAACGCGACTCACGCCGGAAATTCGCTCGTCATTCGCGACCATCCGGTGGGCAGGCTTTCAGAGCATCAACCAGGAGTCGGGCTTGGCGCAGGATGTGCCGCCGGCCAGGACTGTCGGATAACGCGAGCATGGGCAATGGCACTGGCCACTGTAACAAAAAAGCAGGTCCGCAGATGCTAAGCTCGTAAGCCGAAAAGTGGAGGCTTTTGATTTGCAGATGCCGCAGCTTGCCTCGAAGAGTTGGGGAGCTTCGACTGAAGGCTCATGCAAAACACAAGCAGCCTTGGTGTTCTGGCAGGAAGAACCAAAATCCGATTCAGTTTGAGACAACCGGCGAGTACGGCTTCGAAGCCCAGGCAGGTGCTCTTCGTGCGCCTGCAGAAAATGCATTCAACGAAGTGGGAACCAACAATTCCTCTGTACCGCACGAGTCAGAGGGCGGTGCCCGGACGACCCGCCCAGATTTCCTTCAGACACTCCTGTTGCATTCCCGCCTGACCGGCGGGCAGAAGCAGACTGGTAGTACGCAGGACCACTCTCTTGGTGCGGATATGTCACGGCGTCGATGGAAGGTGACTGAAATAGCGTTGAACGTGCTCAGTTTGATTGCTGGCTGTTGGAGGACTCGTGTCTGGCCGAAGTTTCCACTAGTTCTGCCAGCCAGGAGTGGGTTGTTGGATGTGTTTTGGTGATGGCTTTTCGAGCCATTATTCATATCTTTCCCGAGGTTCATCGATACACTATGGACAGATCCTAGACAATGAAGCCTCAGTCTGTGACCCTTCATGTCTGGAGGTGAAAGCCTGGTACAATGCCGTGGCCCTGGACGCCTGGCATCCTGATGTCCAGGCCATCACCTAAACCCGTGTGTCACAGCTCGTTCAGACAAACGGTGACAAAGGGGGTTTGTGTTAGTTTGTAAGTCTTGGTAGCTGTTCATGCACTCCGCCCCAGCCGTGGCCAGGCCGTTCTGAAGAAGACAGTGCAGGCCATCGGTAGTGGCCCGTGGGGCTCAGGAGACGGGGAACGCGAGTACCCAGTGACCTAGTGTAGATGGCACCATTTCCGTGGTTTGGATCTGCCGTGCAGCAACTTGACTTCCGATTCACGCTCCGCATGCGCTTGCTAGCCTAGGCGGATCGGCACATAATTCAAGGCTAGGCCTGGCAATGGTCAGTATTCACGGTAGCCTGTCGCTTCCCACGCATGCCTTCTTTCGGGTTCCCACGAAGAACATCCCCACGCTTGGATCCTGAGTCACGAGTAACCCTGTATCAGGACCGTTCGTACGCGTGTTCGGGTTCTTTGCAGTATTGGTAACGTTCTGAATATGGTAATTCTAGGTTGTCATTGTTGTCACCGTGCGATATTGCTTCAGTTAAGTTTCGTCGCAGCTGTCATGACGGCTTCAGTGTCTCTATCAGGAGTCTGGTGGGGCAACAGCCAGATTTTTGCATTGGTTGCGTGGATCGGGCAAGCGCTGGCACAGAGCAGCTGGGGGCGGGACTGCCATGAGGGTAGGTCTGGTATGCTTCTGAAAGATAAAGGCTTTGCTTGCAAAGGGATTCTCGCAAGTTTGTTATCAAGTTCGGTTTGGTGCTTGGAGGGCGTCGAGAGGCCGCGCTTGTGGAAGGACATGCCTCTGGACTACTACATTTACTCCAGCTTCACGGAGAACCCTTCGAACCAGTGCCTGGTTCATGCCAAAGCAGCCTGCAGTGCTTGCCTGGCTGCATGTGACAACTCCGGCTATGCAGGCTCGGCTAGTGTTTTTCCCGAAGTTGCGAGACCGGGACCGGGACACCGGGACGATTTGTAGATTGCCAGCAGAAAGGCTCTGGGAACAATCAGCGCTACTGCTGCATGGAGCCGGAGCCGTGGATCCCGTCGGCCGGGCTCTTCGATGGGAAGGTGCCAGATCGGGGTTGTTGCGAGGGAGAGGCCGCGGCTCCGCATTTCAGAGCTCAGTGGTCTCATGTCTTCTCGTGCAGGCATGCCTGCCCTCGGAACTTGCTCCCACGCTGTGCGGCGTGCACGGCTTTGGAGAGGTGTGACTTTGTTCGCAAGGAGCCTGCTGCCGTTGTGAATGTTGTAAGATGGAAGTTGGCTTCATTTGCGATCTCAGTGCAAGGTTCGATGCATTCCGGGAGTCCACTGTGGGTGAAATCTGGCACAAAATCAAAACTGCTGCAGATGCTCTGCACGACAATCCAGAGGACTTTTCGGGGCGTGTTGACCTGGGAGATTGCTTCGCATCCATGGTTTGGAGCAGCACTCAAGTGCCAGGGTGCAGGAAATGTCTTTTCCTGCACTTGAGCTGGTGTTACTCGAGTTGGTGTGTGCGCGTCTCCGTGTGTGTTTGTGTTTGTGTGTGTGTGTGTGTGTGTGCGTGTGCGTTGTGTGCGTCTCTTAACAACGTGTAAGTGAGAAAGTGCAGGAAGCGACCCTCTTTGACAAGATGCTTGCTTAGTGTGTGACGACTCAAAGCGATCTGGACTCCTGGACATTGCTGCAACACGCAGATCGATCTCCAGAGAGTGTTTCACATTAGACCTCGTGTAGGCTGACCAAAAGGAGTGGAATGTAAGCTTCCTCAAATTCTACGTCTTGCAAAGTTTTTCTTTACTGGTACTGTTGCCACCGGTGCTGCCGCTGCAGCCACTCCTCTGCCTCGTCCTCCTCCTCCTCGTCCGCATCCGCCTCCTCCTCCTCCAGATACTCTACTGGTCCTACTCTTACAGCATCAACACCAACTACTGCGACTACGACGACGACCAGCTCTAGTGCCCCTGCTAGTACGATTACTGCGACAAGTTTAATACCACCACCACCACCACCAC